CAGCCCTTTGTATATTAGGTTGGAAAAAAAAGTTTTGTCGCTTTTTTGAAATGATCACTTTGAATGTACTTTCCCAATGCTTAAGGAAAAAATAACCATTCATTTTTATATTCTATTTTTTTTTATATTCTAAACTTTCTTTTTTCTTTGCTGACTAATACAGAGTGGGTAAATTTTGTATTCTTCTTGCCCTTTTAAAATGAGTTTATATCAAATCCCCATCAAACACTGAATGAATTCAAAAAGGACTTTTCAGTAACGGAAACTGCAAGTGATATTCGTTCTGTTTATGGGAATTAAACATTAGGTATTTCAACGATGGTTTGGCCAGTTTCGGGGAATTTTTTTTTCTCGATGCTTCTCTTTGATCCGGACCCAGTAAACAGAACAAGAGTAGGCGTTTATCCCTTGTTTCCTGTTTAGGATAGGAGTTCCGGTTCCTTCTAAAGTCTACTTCAACTCTATACATCTAATGTCTCCGCTTAAACTCTGAAATTTTATTTACTATTTATTTATTTATTTATTTTTCCTCAATAGGAGTAGATAGGTTCGCCTATCGTCCGGTTCACACTCCTCGTGGGTCTAAGGAGTAGAGAGTTATCCCTTATTTTTTCTATAGGGGTGGGTTTCCAGTTCATTCTAAAGTTTTTTTTTTCATTCTCTTTCACTTCAGATAGCCTATTGAGACTTAATGACATTATTACTTTGCTTGGAGTGAATTGATTAAACACACACACACACACACACACACACACACACACACACACACACACACACACACACAAAAACAAACAAAAACCGTAGTTGACGGAAATAAACCTGTACTAGAATTAGCAAAATATTTCAATACAAGTCCCACTTCGATCATAAAACATCTTTATGAATTCAGAAAAGTATCTATACTTGATTCGGTTAACCTTCAGGGAATTATGAGTTCAGTCCTTAGAAATACCGACTTGATACTAATTGGAAATTGGCGGGCAATAACTTAGTAGTTGTGGTAGGTAACGCAACAACTCAACTGATGATAGCAGGTAGGAACAAAGAAAACAGCTCTCTGATTCGAAACAGCAAAACGAGCCTGCTTTATACAGCCGCGGACCGACTACGATTTGCATGCGAATGACGAGACAACGAGATTTCGCGTTAACTAACCGAGACCGCCCGGCATAAAATATGGGCGCCGCCATTTTGGTTTCTTTTGCCGTTTGAAGGACCAGAGTTTGCATAAATAGAAACAATTATCCAAATTAATACTTTTATTTTTTATTTATTTCATTTTTTGTTACTAATGTTCACCCAGTACAAGACCTAGGAGCCACTCAAAGTAGAGGCTTACTTTGTTATGTCGTATGAGCGTAAGAAAAGGCAAGATCATGGGAGTGATGCAGAAAAGATAACGAGGTCAAGATTTAGTTATAAATAACATTTCAGAGCTCGGTCGGAGACGTCAGAAGGATAGATCTGAAGTATTCTTTAGAAAGAACCGGGAACCCAGTCCTAAACAGGAAACAACGGATAAACCTGTACTTCTGTTCAAAAGATATTTTACCCGTGTATACTCACTTCGCACCAGTAGAACAAATCTGACCACACAGTGCCACTAACGGTATTCACTCACTCGTTAGCCCTGCTCCAGCTCTGAGAACATGTCTAGGCCGTAAGTCTGGATACACTACTCGCTATATCGCTGAACCTGTTACATTTAGGCGCTTATCTGTTGGTTAATCCGTCCTTCCAATCTTTGATCAGTTCTGCCTACATGGTCAGCGTCACAATGATATCTAAATTGGTAAATTACCGAATTGAAAATTATGAGTGTTAAATAAGTGTGTAAATGTAACAGGTTCAGAGATAGGTGAACGTTTTTAAATCATTTCATTCCACGCAAGACAATAAAGTCATTAAGACGCAAGGGGTTACTGAGTGTTAGAGAATATGAGAAAAAATACTATTAAGACAATAATAAAACAAGAAGAATTAAGAAGACAGAAGATTGACATTGCATATAAATTTTTGAAGATCAAGTTTGACTGGGAAGCAAAAAGCTGAAAGAGAATTCCACAAGCAGGAAGTGCGAGAAAAGAAGCTGTATGCATAGAACTTACGGTTACATCTAGGCAATACAACAGTAAAATAATGAAAACTGCGGCCAATTGCGCTTAAATTCATAAAGTCCAGGTGCCATAGAGGAAAGATCAGAATAATTACCATGAAAGTATTTATGGGAAAACTACATTACGGCAGTGGGAAAGTGACTGAAGCCGAGATACCAGATCAGGACCAATAACATTGCAGATTCTTCTTTGGATTTTATCAAGAATATCTAAATTTATAACAGGAGCACCAGACCATATGTGTCTGCAATATTCAAATCATGGACGAATGGCAATCTTATAAATATAAGATAGATTCTGTCGAGAAAATTTTCTAGCTGCAGACATCGCAATTGATACAATATAATCTTCCCACTTCATGTTAATTCGAGACGGCGCAAAGAGACACTCTCCTGGTAATTATGCATCTACCAAACTGGTGGAAGACAGAAAGAGGTCTTGATTGATAGAGAGCAGTTTCGTTTTGAAGGTGTTAAAATTAAAAAGCTATTCCTTACCCCATTTAACAGCAGATTGTAAGACATTTTTGATATCAGCTGCCAATTTGACCTTATCATCGAATGGATCAGACTTACTATTAAGACAGGGGTAAATATTTGTATCATCAGTTTAGATACCGAGTTGAGAACTGATGATATCAGGAAGGTCATTTATGAAAATTAAGAACAGCGTAGGTTCAAGGACTGGTTCATGGGGGGAATACTTGCCTTGATACATAAAGATCTAGAAGAGAGGACGTTCAGGGTAACTTTCATTTCGTGATTTAATAAGACTGAATCAGTTAAAAATTCGCCATAGAAAATACCATAACCTTTCAATGTGTGATGAAGACCAGTATGTCAAATCCTGTCAAATGCTTTTGATATGTCCAAAGCAGTGTCCCGAGCTTCACTATTCTTATCTAAAACTTGATAGAATTTTTCAGCAATAATCGTTAATACATTATCAATTGGTCTGGAGAGACAAAAGCTACATTGCGTATCTGAAAGAAGACCCCGCGTTCAGAATTGATTAGGGCATCTAGTACTTTGGCAAAGAGGTAGAAGTCTAATAGGTCGATAGATAGTTCACCTGTGTTCTTAAAGACTGGAACACAGGGGGATTTCCAACAAGTCAGAAAGCAAGAAGTGGCCGGGCAAAAAACCATCAGTGTGTCCGGTTTTATAGACCAGACAAATTCTGAGTATAATTTAAAAGTTTTGAAATCAGTATATATTAAGACCTACCAGCCATCACTTTGTAAGTAGGCTTAAAGATAGGTTTTAAATGATATAATTTATTGGATATAATATTTTTCTTTGGTGTGATATATGTAGCTATTGTGCACGCGCTAAGAATATTAAATTCTCTAGATGTCATTAGGTGCCCCAGAAGTTTCAACAGTCTCAGAAAAAGTACAAGTGCCCTTTTTGTTTCTTTTGTAGAACCACATCTCAGTTTCCTAAAGTCTTTCTTTTTATTTATGTGGGAATTTTTCAGCATTCACTGCCAGATAGGAGGGTTGATATCATATAGCAGTTCAGCACTCTTTTATGTGTTAAATAACAAGGTCCGTTAATATGGATTTCGTATTGCGGTAGTAGCGGCTTGGATTGAAGAATCGGAGAGGCGAGTTCGAATTCCAGTCGAATCCATTTATGTTCACTTACGTGCTAATCCTCTAATGAATCCTCTTCTTCTCTTCCCATGGGTAAGTAGCAGGACAGACCGGGTTCTATAGCCTCGGATGGATGGCAACTGGTCTACCACAGAAAGAAATGGCAACATACTGCGTGGAAAAAAATCTACCTAAGCGTTAATTTAAACGTTTTCGCAATCGAAATCATACAGGCAAGAAATGATAAAATAAACTTACGGTAGAGCAAAGGTTAATATTGTCTCGCGTGTCATCACTATTCACAGAAATAAAATTCTTTTTCTTTCATCCATTCGACCAGGGAATTTTTTTTTCTGCGGCGGAAGAAAGGAATGTTTTTTATAAAAAATGACGTGTGTGGATGTTACTATCAGATTGTGTGTGTGTGTGCGTGTGTGTGTGTGTGGAAGGTAAGGTATAGAAACAACACGCACTTATAAAAATCGCATCTATATTGACAGTTACACTCTGGTGACTACATTGTTGTCAATTCATGTCGGGTCAGTGGCAAACGAGTTTTGAAAGAACAAAAAAATAAAGCTCGACTTCTGGTTGTGTATCTTTTAAAGTGTTTATAAATACAAAAATGTCAATGGCGGAAAGAGTCAGAGAACAGGAAATGTAAAGTAACTGATTTTTTTTTTTTTTTTTCGCATTTATATTTACAACCTCGTTTTTTTTGTCTGTGAACGGAATTTCAAAGATGACCTGCAGGAAGGCGGCATCTTTATTCGATTTCTTTTCTTTACGTTTTTTTTTTTTCTTGTTTGTTTTGCATTGATTATTTTCCGTTTTTCTGTTTTTTTCGTTTTCCTTCTTGGGTTTAAATCTCTTTCTTTCTTTCTTTTTTCTTTCTTTCTTTCTTTCTATAAACTTAGAAGTGTTTTTTCTTTTTCTTTTTTTACAAATTACCATTCATCGTTCTTTATTTTTTTTACATGGCTTGACAATGTCCTTTCTTTCTTTCTATCTTTCTTTCTTTCTTTCTTTCTCTAAACTTACTAGTGTTTTTTCTTTTTCTTTTTTTACAACATGCTTCATTGTTTTTTTACGTAGCATGACAATACCCTTTCTTTCTTTCTATCTTTCTTTATTTCTTTCTTTCTATCTTTCTTTATTTCTTTCTTTCTATCTTTCTTTATTTATTTCTATCTTTCTTTCTTTTCTTTCTTTCTTTCTCTAAACTTACTAGTGTTTTTTTTTTTCTTTTTTTTTTACAACATGCTTCATTGTTTTTTTTACGTAGCATGACAATACCCTTTCTTTCTTTCTTTCTTTCTTTCTATCTTTCTTTATTTCTATCTTTCTTTCTATCTTTCTTTATTTCTTTCTTTATTTATTTCTCTTTCTTTCTTTCTTTTTTTCTAAACTTACTAGTGTTTTTCTTTTTTTTTTTTTACAACATGCTTCATTGTTTTTTACGTAGCATGACAATACCCTTTCTTTCTTTCTATCTTTCTTTATTTCTTTCTTTCTATCTTTCTTTATTTCTTTCTTTCTATCTTTCTTTATTTATTTCTATCTTTCTTTCTTTCTTTCTTTCTCTAAACTTACTAGTGTTTTTTCTTTTTCTTTTTTTACAACATGCTTCATTGTTTTTTTACGTAGCATGACAATACCCTTTCTTTCTTTCTATCTTTCTTTATTTCTTTCTTTCTATCTTTCTTTATTTATTTCTATCTTTCTTTCTTTCTTTCTTTCTTTCTTTCTTTCTTTCTTTCTTTAAACTTAGCAGTGTTTTTTTCGTTCTTTTTGCTTTTTTAGAAATTATCCTTCACTGTTCTTTCTTTCTTTCTTTCTTTCTTTCTTTCTTTCTTTCTACTTTCTTGTCTCTTTTCTTTGCTAATTTTTATCACTGATAAACACATTTTTTCCTATTTCTCTATAATTTTATATTTGTTTTTTAACATCTAGCTTTCTTTATATTTCTTTTGCGAGTGGTTATGTCTTTCATCTAACTATGCGTTAAATAACAAGGCAGATTTCCCTTCTCCCTCCTCTTTACTTCATTCTTCACACCACCCACTTTATATCCATTTATTGTCGTCTTCCTCCTTTTCACCTCTTTATTCCTAACTTTCTTCTTTCCTTTATTTTTTTTATCTTCTTCCGCCTCTTTACCTCTTTTCTCTCTCTCTTTTCTTCTTTCTTACCACATCCTCTCTTTCTTTTTATCTTTTCTTCTTTCTCTCCACCTCTTTATTCTCACGTTCCCTCTTTCTCTCTTCTTTTCTTCTTCCTCCTCGCCAAATCTTTATTCCCGTTTGTCCCTTTTCCGCCACCCATTCTCTTCCTTCTCTTCTTTACCATTTTATTCACAACTTCAACTTTCCCCTCCCCTTCTATTCTCTCTCGTCTTCATTCTTTATTCCTAGTTTCTCCCTTTCCTCTTCTCTTTTGCCTTCTCTTCACCACTTTATTCCTATCTTTTGTTTTCTCTCAGCTTCTTCACTTTTCTTTCCTTTTCACTTATTTATCTTTTTCTTCTTCTTCTTCTTCTTCTTCTTCTTCTTCTTCTTCTTCTTCTTCGTCACTATTTTAATCCAACCTTTCCATTTCCTCGCACCTCTATCTCTCTTTTTCTCTTCTTAATTCTCACATTCTCTCTTGTCTTCCCCCATTTTCTACCAACCTTTCCCTTTTCTCACCTCCTCCTTCCTTTTCACACTTTTATTCCTCCCTTCCCCTTTCCTTGCACCTTCTTCTTTTCTCTTCTTAATTCTCATATTCTCTCTTCTTCCCCTCTTCACCCTTTTATTCAAATCTTTCCCTTTTCTCTCAAATCCTTCTCTTCCTCTTTTTCACCCTGTTTTTCATCCCTCCCTTCTCTGTCCCTTACACCTTCTTCTATCTCTTTTTCACTTCTTTCCCCCACATTCTCTCTTTCCTTCTCTTTTCACCTCTTTATTTCCATTTGTCCTTTTCCTCCCTGTTCTTCTTCCTCTTTACTGCATTATTCACCTCCTCCCTCGTTCTTCCTTTCTTCCGCCTAATTCTCCTCCTCCTCGACTTCTCTTTTCCTCTTGAAATCTTCTCTTCTTCGTTCTCTTCACATACTTATTCTTATTATTCCTTTCCATCTTTCTGCTTTAATCATTTCTTCTTTTTTTTTTTCCTTTTCTTTTTCCTCTTCCTTTCTTTTTTCTCTGTCCTCGCACTTCAACAAAACTCACGTTTCAAACTGACTTTCTTCTTAACAATCCAAGCGTACACAATAAAAGAACGAGCCACGACTGCATTTTCCCACGATCGAATAATACAAACAGTATTCTCATAAAAAAGTATAAAAATAAAAAAGACGCAATACCGGTAAAGATAAAAATAAGATTTTCAAAAATCCCATTTGAGTGCAAAATAATGCTAACTATCACGGCAAACTTTTCTCTTCGTTAATATGTCTAGGTGGCCGTTCAAATATTTGATTTTTTTTTCATGATTCTACACTGAATTTTTTTTTTTTATTATCTGAGAATTGCATTGCATTCTAAAGAAAGATAATACAGCACTTTCCGTTACCTTACACACGGTTTGGAATTCAGTTTTCTGTCTCTTATATAATATGACTCCACCCCAAGGCCAGAATGTTTCACTCTACGTTATTTAACCCATAGCCGCAGGGACAACCGATGTGATTAACGCCTTTCTCAAGGCTATTTGCGCATAAGTGAACGTAACTGTCTAGCGCTGACACGCTGATATTCGTTACACTACCCGCAAAAAGTCCTATACTGAACAGAATTTGAAGTTGAAGGGAGTTTAATCAATTCGTACCAAAAGCAACATCAAATTTGAAATTCTTCTAACGAGCTTTCCTTCTTGGTGTCTCGACTGCAGAAATTTAAGCATACTACTAGAATGGCAATTAGGTCTCACTGTTTTACATTTGAACTAGTCTAAATCTATTCTGACAACTACAATTTTCAAAAATTTGAATGCAACAACAATTGCCATCTTCTATCTTCCCGAAACCCGTTCTGTTATTGTCCTTTCTTTTCACTAAAATTTTTTCATTCTCTTTCACTCCCAGTAACCCCCTTGCGTCTTAGTGACATTATCGCATTGCTTGGAGTGAAATAATAATAATAAAAAAAGGTAAAAATTCATTTCTGTGACTTTTCGTTAAAATAAACAAGTTTAAATGATATTTTCTTTTATGTGTTTTGTCTTTCAGGCAGTGGGCGATCACAGCTCTCCACAATTTCCTTTTCTTACTTGAACCTTTACCGACCCTCTTTGTCTTTCTGTAAAATTATATTTCTGTTGCTGCAAGTCTTTTTTTCTGTAAGGAGATTGTCCAGCATTCACTGCCATATAGGAGGACTGATTTTACATATCAGCTAAGTACGCTTTTACTAACATATGTTATTAATATCTGGACTGTGCTACAAAAGAATTGTAAAAATTATAAATTATTCAGATAAAATATATAATGTATATATATGAGCTGCCTTTTCGTAATTTTCAGTTGTGACTTTTAGTGTTTAGTATTAAGGTAGGAAATAATGCGAAGGCGTATTTTACACCTTAAGATCGATTTTTTCAACTGGTACGTTAGGCACTCAAAAGCAATAGTCGGTCACTAAAGTGTGTCGGAAAAATCAGCCTACAACAAATCTGAAACTTCTCTCAAAAACACACAAAACCCACATAAAATGAGAGTTCGCAGGAAATGATGAAACACGCCTGAGATCTTCTACGTGTCGTGTCCTTTCAGGGCATGGGTAATCATAGCTTTTCAGAATTTCCTATTATTTGTACCTCTTAGAAATCTTTATCTTTCATCTTCCTGTTGTTATATAGGAATAAAGTGTCGCTGTCGACACTTGAGTTTAAACATAGATCGCCAGTGAGCAAACACAGGCTATCCTATTACTGAATTAAGTAGACCACGTGACCATAGAGGAAACGCATAAATAGGGGGTTGCGTGACGTCTAATGAATCTGCCTTTCTAGTCTATTTTCTCTTACTATTCGGATCTCCATTTCTACTCTATCCTCTATACGGACCGCTATTCTCTACTCTATACTATTCCTCTATTCGTATCAATATTCAGTGGTTACTATTCGAGCGAGTATTGTCGATCAAGTACTATTAGTACAAGTGCTATTCGAAGGCATCTGACGGAGTTACTATAGCTGTATCTGCGATTATAAATTCTCTACTACAACGAGCATTATGAAAGTGACAACGAATATTTGTTGGCATCACAAGTTTCGAATGAGTGTTCTTTGATATCACAAAGCCTGTCCTATCATCTACTTACACAAGTACGTTTGCTAGTGTCAGATTTTTCTTGGAGTGTCAAATTATAGATGTCTTCTTTTCTCATTATGCGAACCAGACATTTCAACTGTCTTATTCTAATTCCAACTATATCTTTTTATTTCTATTTTTCTTAACGTCTCTTCTTTGCTTACATGCTCCTTCCATAATATTGCCAGTATTCTTGTATAGAACCACATCACTGTTGGCTCAAGTCTCCTTTCCATCTGCGAGGACACAGTTCATTATTCACTGTCATATAGGAGAACTGATATTACAGAGCAGCTGAGCACTCCTTCCTTTGTTTCTAATAAGAATTTCCTGTTTCTTAATATTTTGCTTAGCTTTTGGAAGGCATTGTTATTTTGAGTGTGTCTTATCAGTCATTGTTAATGAAACATGTATTTAGATACAGAGAGCGACCGAAACACACACACACACACACGTGTATATATATATATATATATATATATATATATATATATATATATATATATATATATATATATATATAAATTATATTAAGAAACAGACAATTTTTGGTGATTAATTTTTCCAGGCAGGAAAATATATATTTGTATGAAAATGGAGATCTGATGAATTAGAACCAAAATCCCAATCCTAGGGATATAAATTATAATCTCACGAACCCTTAAGGTTGTGTGTTTCTTAATATAATTAATATTGGCTCTGTTTTTAAATTGAGTTCTCTGGATTACATCCTCCTTGGAATTATCCATACGGGTTGCCAAATAACTTCATTAACTAACCAACTAACTAATTAAAAAGCATTACTCTCAGTACCTTGTCAGTCATTTTTAACAAGACATATATATATATATATATATATATATATATATATATATATATATATATATACACTGCGTGCCAAATTATTATCGAGATAACTTTTTTCTAATATTTCAAAAACCGTCCAATCAATTCACACAAGATTTTCACACAATGTTGGCAACACTGACCTGCGCAATCACTGAAATTTTCGTACTGATCTGCGCAATGTAAACAGACCAGTGTTGCCAACATTGTGTGAAAATTTCGTGTGAATTGGACGGTTTTTGAAATATTAGAAAAAAAAGTTATCTTGATAATAATTTGGCACGCAGTGTATATATATATATATATATATATATACATACACAGGGTGTCCATAAAGTTCGTGTGCATTAAAAAAAAAAACTTTATTTGTATTTGCGATAGAAATAATCTGTAAAAAATGTTATAAAGTTTAATGTACCTTGTTTTAAGTATAGTTATTGAATAATTATTTACCACAAAATTTTCAACAATTTTTAGATAAGTCAAAAAATATTTTCTTTTTTCCAGAATCAATTTGATCCATGGCTTCAACTGAGGAAAAAGTAAACTGTGTCCTTTGGTTGGCTGAACTGAAATCTACTATTGCTGTACAAAGAAAGTTTAGAATTGAATACCATAAAGAACCACCTCAAAGGAACACTATTGCTAAATGGATGAAAAAGTTTAAAGAGACAGGCTCCGTTCATGATAAGCCACGGACTGGAAGGCCATGTATCACCGACGAAAGTGTTGCATCCATAGAAAAATCCTTTACAGCAAGTCCGAGAAAGTCTGTAAGACGTGCATCATTAGAGATCAGGCTCCCATAAGATTCTGCAGGCAAAACTTCACATGAAAGCTTACAAAATTCAATTACATCAACAGTTGTTAGAAGTGGATTATTATGCACGGCTAACTTTCTGTCATCAGTTCAATGTAAAATTTTGCAATGATGATGCATTTGTGAGTAGATTACTGTTCTCTGATGAAGCAACATTTCACATTAGTGGCAATATCGACAGGCATAATTGCCGAATTTGGGGAACTGAGAACCCAAATGAAACTGTTGAACATGAAAGGGACTCTCTTAAAGTTAATGTGTCGTGTGCTTTGGGAAAAAATCGGATCATAGGGCCATATTTTTTTCAATATCGTGTTATTAACAGTGACAGCTATTTAGATATGCTGCAGAATTACTTTATTCCGCAGCTTGAACAATTAAACTTGAAAGACAATACAGTGTTTCAACAAGATGGAGCTCCTTGTCAGTTTGCTCTGCATGTTAGAGAGTTTATAAATTAGGAATTTCTTAACAGATAGATCGGAAGTGATGGACCATTTTATTAGCCTCTATGTTCGTCAGATTTGACTCCATTAGATTTTTTATGGGGACATGTGAAAGCAATTGTGTATGCAACCAAACCTAGTTCATTATAAGATTTGAAAGCTAAAATAACTAATGTGATTTAAGGCATTACTGTAAATCAGTTGGCAAATGTTTTCCGTGAACTGCAAAACTCTATTACCCTTTGTATTGCTAATGATGGAGGACATATGGAAATTAAAATAAAATTTCAATAAACCCTTAAAAAAACATAGATTTGCTTCTTTCTAATCCTTTTTACAAATTATTTCTATCGCAAATACAAATAAAGTTATAATTTTTTTAAAGTGCACATGAACTTTATGGACACCCTATATATATATATATATATATATATATATATATATAATTTTGTTAAAAATGATTGACACGTTACTGAGAGTAATCTTTGTCTAAATTATACGAAGCCAATGAAAAATAACTTTTTTAAAATTTTTATTGGCTACTAGCAGTAGAGCCCGGCGTTGCCCGGGGATGTAACAGTAACAGATAGATCAAGTATCGACCATCATAAAGACTGAAAAATAAAT